GTTCAGCAGTCATTTTCCTTGAAGCCTGCCTCTCTCAAACTTACAATCTATGAATCTGTGATCTCCTACAACGAGAGGAGATTCTTGTAAAATATTGTGGTCTCAAGTTTCCAAAGGAGGTGAAGCACAGGTTTGCAGAGTAAGGAAGCTGACATACACAAATTCAGTTTTTATAACTGTCTGTGGTTGTCATTATGGGGGTTGGAGGTGAGCAAAACCCCCCACAAAAAACAAGAAAAAAACAAAACCCACAAACTAACATTGACTGGGGCGGCACTTGGGACGTTAAGACTGTTAACCTGATCTCAATATATCTAACCAGGAACTTCCTACAAGAAGAGAATGAAATCCCCTTCATTAAATCCAACAATTTTGTGAAATGCCAACTTAAGTTACAATGTTGATGCCTTTGGCTGTTCCATTTTCACCCCTGTTTTCCCTTGCATCCTAAGTCTAATGTGGTCCATTGAAGTTGGGGAAAAGACTCGCGTTGATTTTAATGGGCTTTGGATCAGGGCCATAACCTTGTTTAAAGAGGAACGTTTATATACTGGGGAAATGTCTCATTTAATGGTAGATAAAGTATTATGTTCAGTGTTTGCTCAGTCTGTAAATAGACCAATGAGAGACTATTTCCATCTACGTTATTTCATTACTGTAGCATTAAGTAGTTCAACTGTCTGGAAGTTAAAAATATTACTCTTTAACTGGATTGTCAGCTGTATGGGAAGTAGCTCTCTCAGCCCGACTCTTGTACTTTTTGGAAGGTTCAATTTTGTATAAATGTCACTGAAACTAGTTTTGAATTATACTGTATAGTATTTGTAATAAATTGTTTGCTTGCAAGACCATAGGTGCTTTTAGAGTCTATAGGGGAAAATATATAGTTGCTATTTCAGTAAACAGTCTAAGCTCTGTAAATTCCACAAAGTTCTACGCTTAATTTTTTTATAATTTTAAACAAATGCCTCTTCAATGCAAACAGATTTTTTATGACTGCAGATTCTCAGCAAAAAAGTTAAGTTAATTTTTTTGTAGTTTTAATATCTTTTTTCTAATGCTAACATTATACTGATATTTTTTAAGAGTTCAGATTTTCTAAAATTGTTCTGACCAGGTTTTATTTTTGTTGACTATTAACAAGTCATTCAGTTTCCAAGCACTGATCACAACTTTTTTTTTTTTTTAAGTGTACATAGATATGTTTTTAATGTACTGTATATAAACTGGTTACTTCGAACGTCAACACAACCCAGCTTTCTGTTTCAGCAATCATCTTAAGTAGTTACCTTTACCTGCAGTAATCTACCAGAAAACCCAAATGTCCGTTGGGTGGGTGTCTTTACAAAGGTGGGATAGTTTTCATAATGGGACTTCTTTAATTAAAACTTGTGGGGCGTTTTGTTTTGGTTTTTGGTTTTTAAAAGCCACCAGCTAAGTTCACAAAATCTCTTTAAAAAAAAAAAATTGTGCTTTTAAAGATTTTTGGTACCTCTCTAGCTCCAGAGATCCATGTCCATTTTAAATAATGTGACTTTTTTTTTTTTTTTTAAACTAGAGCTTTTAAAAATTTGTTAAACTACGGTTGTATGCACTAGAGGAGATGACCTAGTTCTCCTTTTAACTTTAGACAGTGTGCAGTTCTATTAATTTGGTGCACTTTTTACAATTTTGTTTTTTATTTTATACTGGAAATATTTCAACATGGCTAAAGACTGCACTTTACAGCTCGTACCAGACACATGTATGCAATGAAGATTAAAGCTATGTATTCTCATGCAATTCTCTGGGTTGTTTAAATTATGCAAAATTGTATGTTGCAGATGCAGCAAAAGTTAGTCTACTTTCATAAAAGCTGCAAGGATATAATTTCTTAAAATCACTTTTGACTAAGGGACATGAAAATAACATTAGTGGTGCAATATTGCTGTAGAAAATTATCGGGCACTTGTAATCCAAAGCATGTTAGTCATGTTGCTTAGAATTCCAACTCACTGTATCCGCTATAGATGATATACCTTTGGCATCTAACCGGACACTGCCCTAGTGGCAGTTTGCGTGTCTGTAAAAACAGTGTTGTTTAGAGTCCAAATAAGTGAAGACACTCTGGAAGTGCCACTCACTTGTCAGAATATAGAATCTATGTAACTTTCTATTTGTATTTATCTCAATAAATTCTGCAACTGTTTTACGAAATGTCTCAGTGGTGGCCAGTTCTGTCACAAACAGCACGTGCATTTTGTCGTCTTCCACTGCTTGAGTCCGTTATAATGCTAGAGGCTGCAATGGCAGTGTATGGTCAACAGTACTGATTTATTTTATGGTTCAAATGGAAGCATAAAGAGCTAGGTTAGGATTTAAATTTAACAGCAATGTCAAGTTTGGGCAAAATGTAATGTTGTCATTGACACTTTTAATTTTGGAATTTCCCCAGTCTTCTGTGCTTGGTGTTCCCAGCCTTCATGTTGCATCAGAACTCATTTAATATGGGGAAGGGTGAAGTGGCCAGGGGACTGGATGAGAACACGGCATGGGCAGAGAGCTGTTGGATCATTTTTGTTTTTCTTTTTCCCCGCGGCCATCTCGGTGTTGCACTCTTATAGTTGCATATCCTTATTTCTGCTTTTTTCTGTGTATCCTTCCTCAAGTGCTTGCCTCCCCATGCATTGACAAGGACATTCATACTTCTCCCCAGCTATGACCACTCCCCGTACTTCTCCCAACCCCAAGTGCCCATCTGGCCTTCCCAAAATGCTCTCCTGCGCTCCCTCTTTTTTTTTTTTTTTTTTTTTTTTTTTTTTTTTTATCTAAGTTCCCCTTTCCTTCTCTCATGTTCTCCACCCAATTTGCCCCTAAGCTTGGCTTCTAGACCTTCCCCCAGCTTTACTTCTCCAGCTCCCCGTCTTCTCCAAGGATCAATCCTTCCCTTCTCTTTCAGATTTCCTCTTTTCCCCCAAATTTCTGAGAAGTTCGTCAAGTAATCATAAATGATATATCCCAAGGTTCAGTCTTGCCCTGTCCTTTCTTCTGTATGGGAGGAAGCAAACCTGCATTGCACTGGTAGTAGGGACTCATGTCCAACTGGTTCTCTAGTCTGTCCTGTGAGGGGGAGGATATCCCCATGGCTAGGGACAGAAGTTGCACATGGACTGGTTTAGGGGATCAGAAACTGGTTTAAACATGTAACAGAGTATAATTTAATTGCACATAAACCAGTTTCAAAATGTCTCAAACTGGTTTAAGAGAAACCTGGTTGAATATAGTATCAGACTTAACTGATTTGGGTCAAACTGGTTTATGAAACTTCTGTCCCAGAACCCTTCCTGGTTCAAGTTAAATCACAGTCCCCCAGCATGCTTTCCAGCCCTGGGCTGGGCTGTGTTGCCTCTGCTCCCTAGCTGGAGCAGTGAGGGCTGGCTGACAAGGAGATGTGAGGCGGGGGGCAGGGGGGGTGGGAGGGGGCAAGCCCAGTCTGCAGCTCCCCTACCTCTCCTCCCACCCCAACCCGGCAAACTTGGCTGAGGTCTAGGGCCAGGGAGGGGGGTGTTAAACACCTCTTCCACCACTCAAACTTACTGTGGGCTGCAGCTGTGGACTACAGACTCCAAAGGCACCTGGAAACAGAAAGAGGAAGTGTTGAGCAACCCTGCAGAGTCCTGTTGCTGTAATTCTGGACTGCAAGTCCCAGAGACCTTGGGGGCGCCTGGAAGAGAAAATGAACACAGCCAGGGAGCCCTGCTTTGGCATCCCCCGGCTTCTGGCCTGAGCCACTGCAGGCATGTGGCTGCATTTTCAGAATCAAAGGTAAATGCCTGTTCTCTTTTCAATTTAATCTGCGCAGTTTAGATTAATTTGCAAAGACTGAATTGACTCAGTCTTGGGCTTTTTGACTGTACTTAGCCTAGGTCTGCAAGGAGATGTATTAATAGTTTTGCTTACTCATTGGGGCACCTTGGCTAGCTGTGGGGCCGTGCACTATGATTATGATGAAAACCCATGGAACTGCAACTGTCATGTGATGTGACATTTTAACTCAACTATTTAGCTCAGCAAAGCAGCTGTTTAGCTCAGTTGCTTGGAGTGTTGTGCTGGTTTGATCCCTGGTTGGACTGGATGATCTCTTGAAGCCCCTTTCAGCCTTACTTCTCTGTAACCCACATTCAGGGCATACATATGTCACATCATCATGTGCCCTGCCCAGATGCTCTGTGACATCGCACTGATGCTCTTCAAATGGTTGCGTCTCCAGTGACTTAGTGATTTCAATGACAACAGTCCACTGACTGAAGGATCTCCAGGCTAGTCCCACAACCCATAGGATGTGGCCACGCTCTCGCTTCACTGCCCACTCCAAGAAGGAAAGGACCAGCAAAGCAGCTCCAGGCAATAGCAGCGTGGCCCCCACACTTTCTCTGCCAGCACAGTTCACCGTCCAGCTCCGCCTGCCTGAGACCAATGAGACTTTCTCGCTGCCTGACTGTCACAACGACTTGACTATATGGAAGCTCAAGGACCATTTGGAGTTGCTGGCTGGCATTCCCCTGCATTTTCAGCGTCTCCAGTACCTGGATGAAAGTAAGGACCTCTAACCTGGAGACTCTCCAGGCAAGGAATCCTTGCCGCTCAGTATCCTTAATATCTGGTTCAAGTCCAAGGGCCACACCTGCCCATTCTCGTGGCACTTAGTATCGGGATGAGGGTCTGAGCTCTTTGTGTGTATGGAATTGATCTTCTGTCCCAGCCCTTAGCATTTCTTCCACCTGCCCTGGGGGACTGCAAATTCCACCCATCTGTGGCTTGCTAGGAGCTTTGCCAGGTGGGTGAAAAGGATGACCATTTTGTTTCTGCAGCATTTAATGCCTATTTAAAAACAGCCCCTGCCATCCAGTCACCTGCCTTACCTGCGCATGTGCGCGCACAAAGTTTTCATCTCGATTAGTATCCTGTCTCCCCATTCTTCTATCCATGCAATATTTTCTGTCTTAAGCCCTGATCCGTCACTAAGCTCTGCCCATGTTAGCACAGAGATCTGCCCATGTGGACCTTATTGCAGGAGGGTAAAATATCCCAGAGGGGGCTATGCCTTTGTGCTCACACAATGGGATGTCAATCTTTGTTGGAGGATCTGGGTGCTACTACAACAGAAGCAGTCAATACAAGAGGCAGACAGCAAAACCAGATCAATGCTACGTTTACTAGGGGCTGGGGGGAAGGCTTTCAAATGGAATTACACCCATCAAATAATGATTTTGTAGTCAGGGAGTCTTGTAGGTTGATGTGCTGAGCATTTCCTTTTCTAAAAGCTGTATTCTTTTCAAATGATATCTTACCTTCTTTTGGATTTCCCTCCAGTAGACCTGCCAGATGATTCTACATTTAAGAGCCATGATATTGTCCCTGGTGGGACAATTACTTTGCGCATCTGGCAACATGATGGCTGGGGGCACCTCGTAGCTGCAGCTGCAGAGGGAAATATTCCAAAGGTTGGTTTCATTACTTTTGTAAACAGGGGGAGAGGGGCAGCTTTTTAAAGAAAGCAAGAAAGGCGGGTTAGTAAAAGGTTCGTGTTCTACATGCTCACCTCAGACTAGTCTACATACTGCGAAGGTTGAGAAGGGGTGCTCTAGCTCAAATAACGACCTTGGAAAGCTTGCTAATGTGAAATATCAGCTAATTATCAATCGCAATAATACTTGAATATACCGGTCTCTCTCTGAGTGCAGTTTAAAAGGAACTGGAAATCTGAAGATGGTGAATGGTTTGGGCAAAGGGGAAAACATGCTGATTCCTGACTAAGGCTAAGTGCTGCTTCAAAGCTCACGGTTCCTCCAACTTCAATGGAGCTAGCATTGCTGTAGGAAGTCTACAATATCTCCCCAGCACTTGTACGTGCTTCAGTGAAGGCACAGGAGTGTGCAGCATAGACTGTGGTGTCTCTTGAGATGAGAGGGGTACTGTAGTGTGGTTAAGGGCTGACCAAACATTTTTCTGAGAGAACTTTCTCAACTGAAAATCAGGTTTTTGAAAAAAAGAGCCCTGCAGCTGCCATGGCACTCAGGCCCCCTTGCCAAGAGAGGGAATGTCATCATGGGGGAGAGCCAGATGAAGGAGACCCACCTGTAGTGTGAGTTGGGAGCATGAGATGCTGTTGGGAGGAACTTGTAAGAATAGAAATGTCATGAATACTGACTCTTTTCACCAAAAACTCCATCAGACAGCTGCCCAGCTCCAATCCTATCCAGCGTCTCTTCTGGACCTTGGTCTTTGCATGGTTCCTGTCCCAGTACTTTTAGAATAAGGTGACGTTTAATATTGGTAACCGTTAAATATAATCAGCTGCAAATTGTGCAATGTTTTATTCTGCCAGCTAATAAGTGCAGGTGTTACAAAGGACCCTGTCGGCAGGACTCCCCAGTCAGACTTCCTGGGTCCAGAGCAGGAGGCGGACTGGAGAGCACACCGCATATTTGTGACACTCTACATTGCCAGCCACAGAGGCCATGCTGCTGCTGTCCATTTTCTACTAGAAAACGGTAATCACCAGAAACGGAAGGTCCAAAGGGGCCATTCTGATCATCGATGCTGACTTCCTGCAGAAAAGGGAGCAGCTCCTTTACACAGAAACGTGACCCTTTGGTTAAAATCTCATGAATTTCCCCTGGTCCTGGCTGGCAACAGTGCTCAGAGAGAAAGCATCGCTTTTCTTTGTTTTTCTTTTCTTTCTCTCTCTTTTTTGTCTCCTTCGTATAACCAAGATGGCAGTTCTATAAGAACTGACATGCAAAATGACAATCCTAGGCGCTGTGCTCTGAAAAGCCAGGTTGTGGCATTTCAGGCTGTCTCAAAGAGGGGTTAAGGCTGAACGATGTGATTTTTTGCCTTTTACTGAGGTCTATTTTTATTATGATTATAGGGGCCCGATCCAAGCCCAATTAAAAACAATGGGAATCTTTCTGTTGGCTTCAGCGAGGTTTGGCTCAGGCTGGATGCCAGCATTTGGAGCATTCCTCTGCCAACTGACTGCTATGCTTTCCCATCACTACAGTGCACAGATCGCAGCATCCCAAACAGCTGGGCTCAGATCCAGAAGCCTATTACTTTAAATTTCAGAAAAGTTCTTGACCCCATTGCTAAAGACAGGCTAAAAACTGCATGACTTGTACAGAGCGGTGGGTTTGTGCTTGCAATTAAACATTTGCCTTACACCTTTAAGTGCCAGGAACCTGATAAATGATGTATTGATTCCATTGGGAAAATAAACTTCTTGACGTTAAGAAGCCATTAATACAGTTTAACCCTGGGTATTAATGGATGGTGCTGAATGGTCTGCCCTGCTGTTTTACACCTAATGTATTATACATGGAATAACATGGTCTCAACGGTACCTCGGGTGGCCGTAATTCGATCATGAGGTTCTGGGGATGCCGTAAATCACGTGAGCGAAGGGCAAGTGCTTTATTCACATCGCCTGACTCCCACAGATGGAAGGAGGTTTCTGTATCATCGTTACTGCTGCTGCTTTATGAAAGCAGAGGTGTCAGGTCACGAGGAAAGAGACCCTTCCTCTGTACAGCTGTGCTTTTTTCAGTCCAAGCCTGACTTTGTTGAAAGGATTTTTTCCCCCTCTTTCTCTCCCTTCTTGGTTCTCAGCCTCACCTCGGGTCACATAATTGCTCCTGGTGTACAGGGAGAGATGAGCCCTGCATGGGTCACTGTTGGGCCAAGGTCCAGGACAAGGTAGTGGAGATGAAGGCAGAGAGAGGCATTTGTTCCCTACAGATATTTGCTAACTGCAGTGGGAGGATATGTATTAGTGTCTCTCAAGGATGTTACAATGCTTTGAAGTAAATTCAGGCCCCTGAGTAGCATTCTCTCCTTCCTTAAATGTGCAAGGCCACACACTGCCCTCTCCTGCCTTTCCAGGCCCTGAGCATGTGTGCTCTTTTCAGGTGCAGATGTACATTTTAAAACGCCGCTGGGCAGGACTGCTCTTCACGTGGCTGCTATCAAGGGCCACTACGATTGCATCGATGAACTGCTCATCTACGGGGCACAGGCTGCTACCCCAGACAACGAGGGACAGACTGCAATGAGCCTGGCTCGCCTGTGGGGCCAGAAGCAGAGTGAACGCAAAATGTTCTCCTTCTCTTGGAAGCAGAGATCAAGTGGCGTGGGACCATCCATCCCCTCCTCGACCTAGAGTCCGAGCAAGACGCCTACAAATTCCCATGTGGGCTGATTTACTTAGCCCTGAGGAGTGTGAGGGGACAGCTGGTTCAAGATCCATGCTTCAAATACTGGAGGTCCTGATGCGAAATGAGCTTGTGCTGGTGATGCCATAGCCCTGATGACAACCAGCTTGACAGCACTATTCCCAAACACGTTCTTAACTTGCAGGTTATTGAGACTGGTAATACTGTGCCCTGTCCAGTTTTGCAAGCTGTCTCTCCAAATTCCCTTTGAAATGCTTGTTGCTGGACTCATTTTCTAACCATTAGCAACAGGCTGGGATGTCTAGTGGGCAGATCAGGGAGCTGGAAATAAGGAAACACTGATTTGCCATGCAGTCCTTGGTAGGTCACTGGACTTCCTGTACTGAAAGATTGGCAGAGGGCATGGGGAGGGCTCCTATTCCCTCTGATAACATGTGCTAATGAGGTTATGCCTACAAGTGGCTAACTAGGATCACTGGTAGGTATAATGAGAATAAGTCTGCATGCAAATTAGGTGTGCTGTTGGGTCCAGAGAATTTTTAAACAAGCAGGATTTGCAAAACCACCTCAGGGCACGAAACACAGTTCTCCCTGACTTTCAAAGGGACAGTTAGGTTTTAAGAAATCCCACCCTTAATCCTTCAAGGCCAAATTTCCAAGTGCTCAGCCCCCAGCAGCTCATTCAGATCTTCCAGAGAGCTCAGTGCAAGAAGAGCTCCTCTCACCAGGAGCTGCTGGGAGTTGAGCCTTTCAAAAGAGGCCATGCTTGGCCATAAGCTGTACATGGTGACTTGTGAAGCTCATGCTGTTCCCTGTGTCAATGCAATGTGCTTGCTAACAGAAGTGGGGTGTTAATGCCAGCTGTGGCGATACCTCCCTCCTAGGCATTTGGCCACCTCCTGGAGTTCTCAGCCTGAGTTAGGCACCCGAAGGAGACTGACACCCTTAAGGAAGGATGATCTCTACGCAGCCTTGTGAGCTAGCAATGAAAGGTAAATGGAAAGGGCAGGACTTCAGTTTCTAACATGGCTAGAAAGAGGTGACTGGGGCTCTAGGTGCCAGCCCTCTCCTTGAATTAGGTGCCTAAGCCTACTTTTCTGGTTTGTGAAGGAAAACAAACAAGTGCTGATTCACCCAGCGTGTTAGGAGAAAACTTGCTTCTGCCTGTTTCAGATCAGGGACTTGGACGGACAACGTGATTCTCAAGCAGAGTAGGCATTTGAACCTGAATCTTGCCCATCTCAGGAGAGCATTCAAATCTATAAGAACTGACATGCACAGGGCTATTAGCCATTTTGGGGACTATAACACACACCACATGCCCCAGATGGGACGGTTGCATCACTATAAGCGGACAGGGGGAGAGGGTTCTGATCTCCAAAGCAAATGAAAACAAATTGCTTCATCCGCTGAGTGTTATTCGCACACTACAAGGTGTGTGCTTCATTTTTAAAACCTGCATTTTTAATTAAAACCTATGGAGGAAACTCCAGCTTTTCCTATCCCATTCAAATTTTGCAACAGAAATGAGCAGAAATCTCCTGGAGAGAACTAGGACGTTGTTCTTGCAGTTCCCAGCAGAGGGCACTCTGGGATCAGGCATGACAATGGAGTAGACCCACTCCTGCTTCACAAGGGGATTATTATTAACGCCTGTGTATTGGGTGCAAACTTATCCCTGGTAAGAATTGCCAGAGAGCTTAATTGTCTTTGGTGTAGTGTCGTTTGCCAATCTGTGTGCGCCATTATCTCAGTTCTGAGGATGTGTGTCATTGTGAAACCAAGCATAATTCAGACAGTCTGAGCAGAACAATGGGAGTCTTCCATTGGCAAGGACTTGAGGGATGTGCTATTTAATTTTATACAGTTCCTGCAGAAAATACAATGGTTTGTGCAGGAAATCTTCCTGTGTTGTTCTGTTGCTTAATTCTTTTAAGGTTTGAGGATACCATTGTTACAGCAGCTGCGTGAGAATGGTAGACCACACGTTCTGCATCTGGCTACAGCTAGAATTGTTGTAAAAGATGGTGCTACTGGCATTCTGCTGTGTAATTGCCCATTTCAAGGAACCACATACAGAGGGTGTCTTTGGAAGCCTTTGATTTTTCATTTTTCTTCTCTGTCTAGACTGTGGAAAAGATTTGTACCTGTTCCCAAACCTTGCATAGCCCCCTGATTGACCATGGTGTCAGGAAAGAACAAACTGGGAATATTTCACAGAAGGAACTGGATGATCTCAAAGGGTGGAGTGTATAAAATGGGATGAAATTCAACAGTACAAAGTGCAAGCCTGTGTACTTGGGAACGAATGGCAAGAACTTCTGTTTGAAGCTAGGCTCATCACTTGGGAATTGTAGAGAAGACGGACGTGGATGGTAGTGGTTGATCATAGGATGACCATGACCTACCAGTGCCTTGGAGAAGGCACATACAACTCAGGGTGTATCAGGACTGGGATTTACAGCAGAAGTATTAATGCCATGGTACACTCACTGGTGACACATCTGAAATCTTGTGTACTATTCTGGTTGTCCACATTCGGGAACGGTGGGTTCTGACCGGAACAGGTACAGAGGAAGGCTAGACGGATGACCAGGGATGAAAAGGCTGTCTCAGGAGAAAAGTGGGGGAGGAAGAACTTGGCTTAGCCTAACATGAACAATGGGATGGGATAGGATTGAATACAAAAGCAGAAATAAATATTGGGGAGGAGAAAGATATTTAAGCTAAAAGAAATGGTTAATTCCAGGAAAAATGAGCATCAATAAATGTAAGCTGGGAATTAGAAGAAAGTTTATAGCCAATAGACAAGTAAGATTTCAGTAGAAGCGCACCAGCACCGTTCGCAGTTGTTGCTTTAACTAGCTATTGAAAACACAAAAAATCTTAGCATGGTTAAAGTGAATGTGTTGCTTCTCTTAAACTGGATAATGAGCTCCGCCACTACATAGGAGGAGATCAGTCTCAATTATAATAGCGTCATGGTGGAAATGGCAAGAAAGGGAGTGTTAGTGGTTAGTGAAGGGGCTGGGAGTCTTCATTTTGGGATGTGTTCTCAGCCAGAGCTGTCTGAACCTGTGACCTTGAACGTCTGATAAGGCATCAGAGGTGCATGGTGGAACAGGAAAACAGATACATCTCTGCATGAAGTGCCTGGTGTGGACATGCACATGGGCCTGTGCCTGATCCCTTTTCTGTAAAATGGAGATTGAATCATGCCAAGGGATTTCCTTAATGTTTGAACAGTGCTGTGAGCTCCTCCGACAGGGACACGACAGAAGGGAAAAGTGAGAGGATTGTTAATAAAGAGGTTTTATTAACAAAAAGCCTCTAAACCACTATGTTAGGACAAACGCCATGTCCGTTTCATAATGTATAGAAGTGTGCGACAGAAGCAACTGTTTGGAGAGAGACACGTTTTCCCTGGATGCAAAAGGCAACAAGAGTGTAAGTGAATGTATCATGACAAGCACAGAAATAATTCATTGCATTTCCTCTTCATTATCAGCTCTGCTTGTTTCCTCGCCTGGACAGGACCTCCTCACTGCATGGCCTTCATTCCCCTGAATCTTGACGGAGTGATGGTGCCGAGAACTAAAGCATCTGACTCCTGCCCTGTGGGAACATGCCACCACGCCTGGCAGGTGTTCTGCATGTCTCTTGTCACACGTGGTGCCTTCTGCTGGTGATACTTAGCAGAGCATTCGGAAAAGTCCTTCAGCTGTGAGCTGTCTTTCTCCTGGAGGAGTCTTCTTTGTGCCCAGTTGCTCTCTAAATTACACTTTGATCTTGCTTGTGTGCCATGTCTTTGTATGCCTGCCTTTGTCCAAACTCCTTGTATATAGATGACGTGCTTTGCATTGTTGTTAAAAATCGGTTGATCTCTGGCCTCAGCCGAAGACTGTCTCTGCTAATGGCATTGCTTAAAGATTCTTAGAGCAGCATGGACAAGGTCAAGTACACGGGGCTAGGCTTTATGAAAATAACCATGCAGAGGAACAGTTTCATTGATGGAGCTGAAAGCTGGTTGAGCCCTGTCTTGGAGCCGCAGTCAAATCCAAGGAGAAATGAAGTGATGTGTGATTGAGGTATGAAAGTGTAGGTCTCCCTTCAACACGCATTGCACTATGCACCCTGTTCATGGCAGGGGTATCCAACTCATCTTGTGGCCTGTGCTGGATCTGGACAGAGGTGTGGCAGAGGCATAAATGGTGGCAGGCCAGGCAGCTGCAGGGTGACCAAGGGTTGTGCTGCACAGGCCTCACCTTCCCTCTTGCTGCTGAGGGCCACTGACACCTCATTCTGTGGCAGGCTCTGCCCACTGCTACCCATGCCCCCAAATTCCCTGGCCCACTGGTAGCCTGGCACACTGGATGGAGCGGCTCCATGGGCTGTGTGGTTTTCACCCTTGATTTATACTAATTAACCAGATGAGAGCCACATTCAGATGAACAGAGGGAACAAAATTCCCATAAAATGTTTCACTGAAAACTAATTGAGACTATCTTCCCTTCTTCTCCTATGGCTGCAGCAGAAGTATTGCTGACCTTAGCAAACTCCGTACCAGCGTCTTTGAAGAAGGCTACTTACTCTGATATGTAATAGGGGCAGATTTTAAATGCAGGTGGCTGTAAATGGAAGCAATATTAGAAATTAGCCGGCTGACTTCAATTTATGAGTCAATACTTTAAGCCAAAAGAGTGAAGAAAAATGCCTAAGGATTAAAGGGGGGGAAAGTGATGGTATTAAAAGAGAGAATCGGTGTGACCATAGCTCATAAGTCTTTTTCCATGGTTTTCCACATCTACTGATCCCAGCTGCACAAGGTTAAGTCAGGCATTGCACACAGAAAGCTTTGATCCAACTAATTTGCAAAAAATCTTTAGTTCCTAAAGGCACTTGCATGCATGAGTCTGGTTCTCAGACGCCTTGCGCTTTCCCTTATGCAGAACTCTGTTGCCTGTGCTTTTCAGTTGTTCTGCTCTTT